ATTTTGTGTATAAAGTTAGTATTCTCAAGGGTTCTGTTTTATATCTTTTTTTTTTTTTTTTTTTAATCCTCACCCGAGGATATTTTTCCATTTTTTGTACAGATAGAGTGGGAGGGAGAGAGAGGAAGGGAGAGAGAGAGAGAAACACCGACATGAAGGGACACATCGAGTGGCTGCCACCCGCACGACCAACCAGGGCCGGGGACAAACTGCAACCGAGGTACGTGCCCTTAGCGGGAACCGAACCCGGGTCTCTCCAGACCGCAGGCCGACGCTCTAACCGCTGAGCCAAACTGGCCAGGGCTGTTTTATATCTTTACGGCATCTGCACTTAGGTCCTCTCATTTACCATTTGTGCCCTTCCTTCTGATCCCTCTTGCCCAAGGTCTGCCTATTTTATAAATCTTAGTTTAGTCACCTCTTAGGTTTTTTATTCTCTTTATCTTTTCTTTCTATTTCATTGTACTCAGTAGTATTTTCGTTTTGTTTTACTTTATTTTTCAACCTCATAAGTAGTATACTTACCTTACTAATTTGCAACCTTTAATTTCTAGTAGTACATTTATTCCTTAGTATGTCTCTGATTGAGTATCTGTGAATGGAAACTCTTGGGGTTTGTCTGAAAATATTGTTTCACCCTTGCTCTTGAATGCTAATTAGCTAGGTATAGAAGTTAGGTTGGCAGTAATTTTCTCTGAACACTTTGATGAAATTATTCCATAATCTGCTAGTCTCTTTTTGCTGAAGAGAAGTCTGTTTCCATTCTTATTGCTATCCTTTTGCAGGCCACCTGTTGTAGGAATTTGCTTGTCTTTTTGCTATTCTGTAGTTTTACTATAATCTTTGTAGGTATAGATTATTTTTTAGTTATTGTGTTTGAGGTTCTTTAGCTTTTCTAAATCTGGAGATTTTGTGTCTTTTACTAATTCTGGAAAAATCTCAACTGTCTCTCTTTTTGAACATTGCTTTCATATCTTCCCTAAACATCATTATCTCTCAGCCTTTCAGGATCATCAGTCCTTTGCTTCTCTTTCTTTTACCTTTCTGGTTTCTTCTACCTGTTGTAACAATCTCATCGACAAGTGAGCATGCCCTAATGTCTCCCGTCTTTCTTTCCTTTTTAAAAAAATGTTCAGCCCTGGCCGGTTTGGCTCAGTGGTTAGAGCATCGGCCTGCGTTCCAGAGAGACCCAGGTTAGGTTCCCGCTAAGGGCACGTACCTCGGTTGCAGTTTGTCCCCGGCCCTGGTTGGGTCATGTGGGTGGCAGCCACTCGATGTGTCCCTTTTACGTCGATGTTTCTCTCTCTCTCTCTCTCTCCCTCCCTCCCACTCTATCTATCTGAACAAAAAATGAAAAAATGTCCTTGGGTGAGGATAAAATAAATAAATAAATAAAAATAAAAAATGTTTAATGTTGACACTATTGTAGGTGTTCCCCATTTCTCCCCCCTTTACCCACCTCCACCCACCTCCTCCCCTCCCTTCCTTGGCCTTCACCATATTATTGTCTCTCCCATCTTTTATTTTTTTTAAATCCTTCCTTGACCCCACATCCACCTTGTTGCTGGACTGGACATCACAGCCACACTTCTTGATGAATTTGCTTTAACATTTCTCCACCTTCATACTTCCCATTTATTCCTCAGTTCCCTTGAGTATGACTTCTGCCTTCAGCGATCCATAGAGTTTGCTTTGGCCATGGTTGCTGATGACTTCCAGGTGTCAGCATCAATATTCAGTCCTCATTTGAGTTGACCTCTTTCCAGCATTCAACATGGTTGACTGCTCCTTCCCTAAAACTCTTCCCCTCTTGGCTTCTGAAACACTTTATTTCCTTGGTTCTCTTTAAATGTTGGAGCACCAAGGGCCTGGGCTCTGTTTTCTTCATTTTTTTTCTCTGTCTTTCTAATAGTTTTTATCCATTCACATAATTTTTAGTACCGTTTATTTGTCAGGTTTAGCCAAATGTATCTCTCCTGCCCCACTCCTCTGAGCTACCGAATTATGTGTGAATTTCTGCTTAGCCCTCACATGTGGAATATTAATGGCATTAGACTTCAAACTGTTCAAAGCTGAACTTTTGAATTTCCTTCTCCCACAAAGAGCATCTTCCTTATTTTAGCAAAGGGCATCACCGTCCATCCGGTTTCCAAAGCTACAATCTAGGCTTCATTCTTCATTCCTCTCTCCTTCAAAGACCCATGTTTGTCCTATGATCAAGCCCTGTGAACTCTACCCTCTAACTGTGTCTCAGGTCCACCCACCTCCAGCGCCCTGACCTTGGCCTCTATCATTTCTCAACTAGGAACGACCGCCTCTTTCACTATGAACACTCTCCCATCCATTTCGACACAGCAGAGCAATATCTTTCATTAGAAATCATCTTCCTACTTGAAGTCCTTCGAGGACTTCCTTTTGAACATGATTAAAACCAATTCCATGCTCACTAATAACCCTTCAAGACCCTTTCCTACCTTTGCCCTGACCCTAGTTCCTCTCCCCATCACTGGTGTTCTGGCCACCCCAGCTTCTCGCTCCTCCACCACGCCAAGCTCTTTGTCCCTGCAGGGCCTGTGGAGGTGCCTTCTGCCTGGAATGCCCCCCACTCCGCACCGCCCAAAGAACTGGGTCCTTCCCTTCCTTCAGTAACTTGAGGTCCCCTTCCAAGACCATCCCAGATGACACTGGGGCCTCTCTTAAGTCTCTCTAGTAGCAACTTAATTTTTTTTCTTTTATAGCCCTTTTCACACCTCTTTGGAGGGGGGCTGTATTATTTTACATATTATTTAATTGATTACGCAATTTCAATAGCATATTAAAAATAGGTGTAATTAACCAGCCATCTCTGTAGAGCATTTCTACTAAAATACTAAGAAACTTTTGATTGCTGAACTTAGGAAATGTTCAGCTTTCAATAGGACACTTTACTGAGGGATTCTTTTATTTTTATTTTTTATCCTCACCCGAGGATATTTTTCCATTTTTTTGTACAGATAGAGTGGGAGGGAGAGAGAGGAAGGGAGAGAGAGTGAGAAACATCGACGTGAAGGGACACATCGAGTGGCTGCCACCCGCACGACCAACCAGGGCCGGGGACAAACTGCAACCGAGTACGTGCCCTTAGCGGGAACCGAACCCGGGTCTCTCCGGACCGCAGGCCGACGCTCTAACCGCTGAGCCAAACCAGCCAGGGCCTGAGGGATTCTTTTAATACAGGCATCTGCTGCGTGGGGCTCCAGGGGGCTCCAGGGGGCTCGCACACAAGTGCTCTCTGGGTGCGTTCTCCGGACTCCGCAGGACTGCTTGTCAGGGTTTTGTGTCATTTCCTTGCAGTTCGATTCTCCACCTTCCTAAAAGCAATTCTGAGATTTTTCCATCTATTTTTAAGACAGAAATAGTACAATGAGCAGTTTGCATGTGGTAAACTGAAATACCAAAAGACTGTTATAACTTACTTTTAGTGCATAGAAACTAAGGCCATAAGGTGCTATTTTAGATTTATCAACTAGCTATTTCTTTTTTTTTAATCCTCACCTGAGGATTTTTTTTCCATTTATCTTCAGATAGCATGGGAGGAAGGGAGGGGGAGAGAGAGAGAGATCGATGTGAGAGAGACATACTGATTGGTTGCCTTCCGCACGACCCCCACCAGGGCTGGGGGAAAAACCGCAACCAAGGTACACGTGCCCTGGACCAGAATCGAACCCAAGACTCTTTGGCCCTTGGGCCGATGCTCCAACCGCTGATCCAAACTGGCCAGGGCTTGACTAGCTTATTTTTCCTGCTTTTCTTACGAATCTGTGAATTCCATTACGAGGAAACTAGATCTGACTTGCTTGTCACTTTATATATACCCAATTACTAGCATGTATAAATAAATAAAGGTCTCAAAGTGATATTTTTTCTTAAGTAAAGCTCTGATGAGAATCATCCCAAATTGTGACCATTGCTGTCATCGGATTTTTTGTTAAGTAAAAGTATACAGGCCTCCCAGTCTGTTCAACAATAACATTGTCTGTATTTTTGCCTTTCTTAATGGAGGTTTAAAACTTTGAAATTCATATGCAATGCCTACAATATTTCAATTTTGTAAAAGTTCAAACCTTTTCGCATAGATTTGTAAGCCTCCAAACAGACTGCCTGCGTGGGTTTGGGATTTTCACACCACATGTGCTGTTGAATCTCCTAGTTCTGCTTCTTGACACTCTTTGTTGCTAGAGGAGATGTATTTTTGTCTTGTTTGTTTTTGTTTTAAATTATGACTTACTACACGGTCCTGTCCCAGAGGGACATGTATCTGTATAACTAGAGATAAACTCACCCTTACTTCATGATACTCAGAATATTTAACTGGCTGAGGCACCGGGCCAATGAGGCTGGTCCCTCGCAGCTGGCGAAGGGACTTCCAGCGTACACATCCATAGACCACACCACAGCTTGCTGACTACCGACCCTGTATTTCAGCCAACTCCCTAACTTTTTTTAATGGCTTTTTGGAAGTGGCTGAAAGTCTAGGAACTTTTTCATTATCCTGTAATCATCTCTTATTTATACCTGGATATTCTACAGATGGGGCCACTTTGGTCAAAAGGACACACGAGTTGGGTTCTGACTTCCAGAACGGACTGAGCTAAATGCAGGATAGAGTGACCAGCTCGGGCTCCCTCGCTTTGGCCACACAGTGCCTTGTTTGGGGCGGCGAGAGTCTCGTTCTTTGGCTGCTGGCTTGGCCCTGTAATCTCCCTGTTTCTCCACATTGCTTTTGGACTCCGGCCCTGGGCATGGTAGATCGGTGTAGGATTTTCCGAGACGAAAGCGCATCTCTGTTTCCTCCGGTCGGCTTGTAGCTCTGCCTCCCTGGAAAGAACAGGCCCAGTGAGGGATGCTCTCTCCCGCCGAGGCCCTTGTGTCCTGACCTCAGGTATTTGTCGCAGGTCGGAGGCCACCTGCCTCCAAATGACTCTGAGTTTTCTGACGCTCTTCGTCTTTTTGAATCGCAGGTGCACACATTCCGAGGCCCGCACTGGTGTGAATACTGTGCCAACTTCATGTGGGGACTCATCGCCCAGGGGGTCCGGTGCTCAGGTAGACGCAGACTGTCTCTATCCTTTCCATTCATCTAAAGTGCCAGCATGTTGCCCTGGCCGGTTTGGCTCAGCGGTTAAAGCATCGGCCTGCGGTCCAGAGAGACCCGGGTTCGGTTCCCGCTAAGGGCACGGACCTCGGTTGCAGTTTGTCCCCGGCCCTGGTTGGCTGTGTGGGTGGCAGCCACTCGATGTGTCCCTTTCACGTCAATGTTTCTCTCTCTCTCTTTCTTTCTCTCTCTCTCTCTTCCTCTCTCTCCTCCCTCCCACTCTATCTGAACAAAAAATGGAAAAAATGTCCTCAAGTGAGGATAAAAATAAATAAATAGATAAATAAATAAATAATAAAGTGCCACCATGTGGAGCTGGAGGGCAACTCTCCAGGGCTGGGAAATAGGCTCAGATTAGCTCAAAAGCCTAGCTTTCTGGAAGGTTTGAGACATCCTTCTAGGTATTTGCTAGAATGGGAAGGAATAGCTCATGCTCATGCAGGAAAAGGAAAATCCAAGCTGATACATTCCCGTAGACACCTACCAGCCTCCCAAAATAGACACTATTCCGTAAAAGAAAAAGAAATGACTTCCAGTGGAATGGCACAGAGAGAAAAGCCGCATTTCCCTTTCATCCACTTTACTACATAAGAAAGGGCATAAAAATGATCATACCGGGAGCACTGATCACATACCAGCACCAACCTAAGCACTTTCTATTTATCGTGCCAATTAGCCTTCCCCACAGACCTTGGGGTAGATGCAATTATCCTCCCCATTAAATCAATGACGAAACTGAGGCTTACTGATGATTGTTAATTGCCCTTGGCCACATATGAAGGGCCGGAACGTTGACTCGACTCCAGAGCCCATGCTCGGTCTTTTGCTGCCATCAGATAACAATGAAACTGCACACCTTGATTTGATAGCACACATTTCAAAGCGTTTTGAAACCCCGAGGTGTTTTTCCACCCAGAGCTGAATGCACACACCCATTGCTAACAGCACACAATACATCTTGTTAAGATACATGTAACAAAAATAACAAAGAATTGCCAAATTAATGTGTAACTAGGCTTCCTAAGTCGTCTTGCTGTGCTTGTTCTGGCCAGCAGTTCTGGCCGGGAGCAAGAACTCCTCCTGGGATATATCGATTGGCTTTCCACCAACACCATGACTGATTTTTTCCTTCCTACGGTATAATTTAAAAACAGAATTCTCATGGAGCATTTAAAGTGCAATCAGCTAGTGACACTACGTCATGATCATCTATTTCCCCATACTGCCCATTTTGGTCCACAGGATCATAGGACCTTAAATCCTTTCTCTGCTTGAAAGGGGCAATCTTAGCTCCACTGTAGAGATACAGTACTCACGACGGTGAGGCCTGGATGGTTCAAGTAGGTGCGCATGTGGGTCAGCTGACTCTGCCTGCCTCCATCCCTCACCCATGGACAAGCAGTAAACGGGCTCAAAGCAGTCTCCAGAAATGATCCAGATACCCCGCTGACAGACAGACTTGTTCATCAAGAGTTACAAAGTATCTCACAGCTCAACCCCTGAGCAGAGTGGTAGAATATCTGAGCTACTCAGGGGTCATTAATTCAGCCTTCCTGATTATATCTACCAAAAATATTCCTAATTGCTGGTATGATCCAATTTCAGCAAGAAATTGGTCCAAAGTCAATATTATGAAAACAAAACTCTGGGATTTGGATTAGCTTTGAACAGCAACTTTCTCTGGGATAAAAGGGCTTGGGGTTTTTAAATAAAACCTATTCTGAGGCTGAACTGTTGGTCTTCTCCAGTGACCACCATGGAGCCTCTTATATTCCCTGAGCAGTAGTGAACCTTGTCATTAAAGGCTAAAAGAACAATCGCTGCCTCTCAACTCTCCATATTTTACATATTGGAAACATTTTTAAATGAAACACACTTTATAACATATGGAAATATATTCGCAAAACCTGAATGTTTTTATATTTGTTATAAAACATCTTCATTTTATTTTTTTTAGTTTTTTTCTTTATTAATTTTAGAGAGAGAGGAAGGGAGAGGGAGAGATAGAAACATCAACGAGAGAGAACATCAATTGGCTGCCTCCCGCATGCCCCCCACTGGGGATTGGGCCCACAACCTGGGCATGTGCCCTGACCAGGAATCGAACTGGTGACCTCTTGGTACATGGGTCGATGCTCAACCACTGAGCCACACCAGCCGGGCATAAAACATCTTCATTTTAATAAAATATGAGTATTTAATTCTAAATAAATACTGCTGCCTCAGACAGTAAAATGAAGTTTGTGAGGAAATTAAGACTAGAATTATTATATAAGCCAGCATTTCCATTTCTGGATATACACCCCAAAGAACCGAACGCGGACACTCAAACAGGTCTTTGCACAACCATGTTGAGAGCAGCATTCTTCACAACAGCCAGGAGGTAGAAGCAGCCCGGGGGTCCAGCGATGGATGAATGGATAAACAAGATGTGGTACATCCATACGCTGCAATCTTACAGGAAGTCATGTCACATGTTATCATGTGAATGAACCTTAAGGACAGTGTGCTGAGCAAAATGAGCCATCAGAAAAGAACAAATACTATAGGATTCCACTTAAGTGAAGTAACTAAAGTAGTCAAATTCGGAGACAGAAAGGAGAGTGTGGTTGCCAGGGGCCGGAGGAAGAAGGGCCTGGGGAACTAATGTTTAATGGTATAGAGTTTCAGTTTGGGGAGATGAAAAGAGTTTTGCAGATGGATGGTGATAATGTTTGCAAACAATGTAAAGACACTTAACACCACTGCACTGTCCACTCAAAAATGGTTAAAATGGTGAATTTTACGTTATGCATGTTTTACCCCAGTTTTTAAAAAGTTTTAAATGAAGTTTGTAAAAATATAGTAAAAAATAAGGAAATAACTCAAGAACAGTTAAGCAGGTATCCTTGTATTGTCTATCACTGTATTCGCTTTTCTTTTTGTTGATTGAATATTCATGTGGTGGCCATCACACCCCAGACTTTGCAAATATTAACTTCTCTGACCCTCGTGACAGCCGTAGAAGTAGGTGCTCTTTTTCCTTCATTTTATAAAAGAAGGTCCAAACAAGAGAACCAATCAATTCTATTTCATTCAGTTGGCCAAAATTTACATCTACTAAACAGATCTATCAACATATCATTGAGGTTTACTTGCGCTCTAGTGAATTTCTCATGTTGATAAAGCTGAGATGAATTAGAACCAGCTTTTCCTTTGGAAGGAGGACGGACAGAGATAACTTGGCGAGTAAACATTACATAAAAATCATCTAATGATTTTTCAAAAATAATTTTTTAACCATCTTACAAAAGTTTAGGTCTTCTCAAATCCTCAGTGTGATTAACTGCTTTTTTATAAAGCAGCTGATTAAAATATTTATCATGTGTATAATACATGTACAGATTGGAATAGATATCATTATTATTATTCTCTGTTGCTAGGAAGGCAAGTGATATTAGAAGGCACTTTGAATAAGCAGCACATCAACGGTGAACAAGTTCAACATTAAAGTTTTATTTTCCAGAATGTAGACTGTGCCTTGGTATTGTTCGAGAAATTCCATCAGTGGATCTCAGCTGCTGACAAGGCTGTGCCCTGCTCACAATGTGTTCGCTGAACTTAGAAGCACCTTTTCAGCTTTGCATCTTGATATGAGCTTTATACATAATTAATGTAATCATCACATTACATGGCATGGTTCTAAATTGTAAACACCCGGGTACTTCCACCGGTGTCCAGTTAGACAGTATTTCCACTCACAGGTGTCAGAATAAGACAACTAGAAGGAAAATGGCCTGCCCCCACCGCGCACGAGGACGAAGGAGTGAAAACCGTGGGCAGCTCTCCAGGAAAGGGGAAGAAGATGCCAGTGGTCATGGGTTCACAGAGAGAGGGGGAGAGAGAGGGGAAGAGAGACATCTTGTCTCCCACAAGAGGAGAATCGAGGACTTAAGAGAAACAGCCCAGCAGAAGCCCTTGGTGCCCTTAATGAACTGTGATTAGCTCTGAGAATCCACACCCAAAACCCATATTGGACACAAAGGTTCCAGACACCAAAGGGAGAAAAACACACGAGCGATCAGTCTAATTACCAAAACTATCTTAGTGAGATTATGGTCCAGCAGCAGAGAAAGCTTAATGAGGAAAATGGATGCATGTCAGAGTTTCACGGGCGAAGACAGGTGTCATACTCCTCTGGTGCAGTCCCACCTAAGAGGGGTGGATGTTCCGGAGAGATACGGCAAACCCTTGGGTGTTTTCATTTTTATTTTTGGTAACGTATAATTTGTGCTGGGCTTTGACAAAAGAAAGGGCTGGGCGAGTCTAATGTGGCTTCTTTGTTTACAGACTGCGGGTTGAACGTACACAAACAGTGTTCCAAGCACGTTCCCAATGACTGTCAGCCTGATCTCAAGAGGATCAAGAAGGTGTACTGCTGTGACCTCACAACCCTGGTGAAGGCTCACAACACGCAGAGGCCCATGGTGGTGGACATATGCATCCGGGAAATCGAAGCAAGAGGTCTGGAAGAGACTCCTTGATACAGGGATTTTATTTTTACTGTTGCCAAGGAAACTTCCTTGTAATTGTTAGTTTGACTCTCCACTACTGATGTTGGAAAACGGTCTGCACAGGCACACGTGCACACGTGTGAGCACACACACACTAAACCAGTTTCTGTTTCACGCATAAACCACTCGTGTGTGAAATGCATGTATGTATGCTTTCAACACATGCTTGCTATGCATTTACTGTGCGCTACACATTGTGGATATGAAAGTCAGTTCTCCCTTGTACAAGTTCGTACTGTAGTATTCAGAGTCAGAGGGGCAAGTAAGTGATCTGTGGGTGCGTGTATTCAGAGCACCGTGGAGTCGCAGAGGGAGACACTGTCATCTTCTTTGAGGACAATTCAGAAAGGGTTTGACTCTTAGGACGTGCTCTTATCAGCAAGTAAAGAAACTGTTGATCAACAATAGATTTCCTACCACAGTATCGGTTCTGTTTATTTCAAAGAGGAGAGTTAAAAGATAAAAGATATCTATGCGTCGAGAAATCAAGGAGGCCACAAAGATAGGAACGTCGCAGAGAAAGGGCTCTTTGTGTGGTGCCTGAGTGAGCCTTCCTTATGTGTGTCCACTTCGGCCGCTCCTCAGCTCTTCAGAACTGAAGTGCTCGGTGACAGGGCAGGTGAGGCGTGGCTGGGGAGAACTTGTATCGACTGGGTATAACTTGGATAGCTGGACCATGCACAGAGCCCAAAGGCTTTAGCCATCTTTGCCATAGATGTACTCTGCTATAGTTGGTGTCCATTATTATGTCCACATCGGCTTACTCTGTTCTCCAGGTATTTATGCATTGGCCAACCATCCCGTTCTTCCCAAAACAAAAAGCAAAATTGGATATTTTGAGCTTGATATCCCAGGCCTTTTAGAGATAGGAAATTATTCGCCTTTCTATGCAGGATGAAAACTATAGTTATTCTGTTTCCTTAAAACTTGCTCATTTAATCTCCAATGGTAAGAAATACCTCCTGCCCTTTGACTGCTGTGGCTGTCAGAGCTTAATGGGTGCTTTGGGATCAGGTGAGGGATTCATGCAAGGGCTGAGCGGGGTGCGAGCTGAGGAGGGGTGCCTGGCTCTGCTGAGTGGCTGGCAAAGGAGCCCTAGGTCTTGCTGTCTAAAGGGCTCTGCACTGTGGGGTCCGGTCATCAGCCTCTCCAGGGCTGCGATCAAGACTGTGCTTCTCTGGAGAAGCTGGGATCATCCCACAGTGATCCTCATCAAAGGTGACTGCTAAACCGAGCCACGTTCCTACCATGTCTGATTTCTAATGTGTCCATGGGAGCAGAGCACTAGCATGACTAGGACAAGACCTAGAGTCACACAGATCAGGACTGTGCCAGAGAGTCACAGCTCCAGGCACTAGGGGCCTGCATATGTGCGTAGATCCAGAGAACGGCTGGAAGAAATGCACAGGACACTTCCATTCCCCGCGTGGCTGCCCCGCTGCCATCTGTCCACCTTCCATCCACAGCAGATGCCTTAGTGTCCTCCACAGCTCTCTCATGGCCATTGTTTCGCATGATGTGGTAGAATGGAAGGATCGTGGACTTGAAGTTGGATTCCCAGCCCTGCCTCCTACAAGTCACTTGCACCATGTGAATACGTTTCCTCGCCTACAAAGTGAACGCAATCAGCTGTATAACATCAAGTGGCTATGAGGATTAAAATGAGTTGATCCATATTAGTGACCTGGTACAGGGCCCAGCATATAGGACTCCACCTGTGTTATTTCTGTTAGCCGTTTCTTGGAATGACCAACTCCCCTAACTCTGCCTCCAAATTTGTCTGTCCAATCAACTCACTTACCTCATATGGTTTGGTGCTGTCACCAAGACTCCATATAATAGGGTCTTCGACAGTATAAAACTCTATTTCTCTCTTCATTCAGTACTGGTCCATGGCCAGTTGAGCAGCTCCCCAGGGACAGGCGGCCCCTCATGCCTACCACGATCTCATCTGCACTCCAGCCGAGGGCAAAGGGGCGTGCGCTCTCCCTTCATACACACCCAGGCGCCGTCTGCATTGTTGCTCTCTTCACATAGCCAGCGTTCAAAGGCCACTGGATGGATGTTGTTCTAAAACCGGGGGCTCGCCCTGGCCAGTTTGGCTCAGCGGTTAGAGCATCGGCCTGCGGTCCGGAGAGACCCGGGTTCGGTTCCCGCTAAGGGCACGTACTTCGGTTGCAGTTTGTCCCCGGCCCTGGTTGGTCGTGCAGGTGGCAGCCACTCGATGTGTCCCTTCACGTCGATGTTTCTCTCTCTCTCCCTTACTCTCTCTCCCTCCCACTCTATCTGTACAAAAAATGGAAAAATGTCCTCGGGTGAGGATAAATAAATAAATAAATAAAACCGGGGGCTCCATTGCAACAGAGGGAGGGGAGAACACATGTTGGAAGGGGAGCTGGCAGCCCGTTCCTCCAGCAAACTCCCAGCCACCCTCATGACTTCCTTCCAAGACAGCTCCTCAGTAAGACCTCCCCGCAGCCTCTTCCGCCCACAGGACGGGTGGGTTCACTGCGCTGGGGTCCCACGTGCCACCACGTCCTCACCTCTGTTGCAGTGCAGATGACAGCTATCCTGAGGCATGCCTCCTGCAGGGCAACCGGAACAGGATCCCACAAGGGTCTGTCTTGTGGGCCCACTTGGTTGCCGAGTAGCGGCAACCTGGACAGCTGCTGAGGGGGATGTTGAGGCCGAAGGAGGCTGTGGGAGAAAGCGCTGGGTCAGTTAGGGGTGTCTCTGATGGCCACAGGAGCGAGGAGGGTGGCAGGCCCTCCGTTGTCTCTGATGCAGGCCCTCCTCGACGGCAGACAGCGCACCCAGTACGTTTGTTTGTCCAGTGAAAACCAGGAGCGCACGGGAGCTGCCCAGGGTTTGAGGGAGTCTCCGCGGCAGCCGTACAAGCGATGTGTTCGTTTATTTCTTCTGTAGCTCTAGTTTGGTAGCAGCTAGTTCTGACACACCAGGTCTGAAATCTAGTCCTCTATTTCCTGATACTTTGGGGCCCTCGCTAGGCTTTAGGACACATCTTAATGAATCCGTAAGACCTAGCAGAAACCACATTCTTTTCTTCCGTGATGATCAAATTTCCAGAACCTCTCATCAGAATTTTATGTTCCTGCATCTGTTTGCATGATCGTTTATTTGAAGGTATAACTATTAAATCAATCCTATTTAAACACTTAACATAGTGTCATATTTATGACTAAGCATAAAGGCTATACATTTGAGGTTTCTTTCATCTTTTTTATTTTTCAGTTACAGTTGATATTCAAGATTATACTGGTGTCGGGTATACAGCATAGTGGTTAGGCATTTATATACCTTACAAAGTGACCCCCCATTAAGGTTGTTACGCCCTGGCACCACACATAGCTACTCCAGTGTCACTGACCACATGCCCCATGCTGTAGTTTACATGCCTGTGACTGTTTCGTAACCGTAGAAGGCTATACAATGGGGCTTGTTTCAACAAAATCGAGACAATGTGTGTGCCACACACGCACACACCGATGCATGTGCACACGCAGCATGGCACACGGGTTAAGATGGTGCTGGAGAGCAGGGAGCCGCCTGAAGCAGTCTGCCGAGCAGACAAGCAGGAGATGTGTTGCTGGGAGTCAGGCAGGCGGAAGCCCCGCTCGCTGAGGTCCTCACTGCCCACAGCAGACGAAGGCGGGCGCGCCGGGACCTGGGGAGGGCACGTCGGGGCCGACGGGACAGTGTGTGATACGGAAGAGCACCGACGGGTTTTGCTCATTTCCTGATCGCTCGCAATGTAGATATGAAATTAGAATCATTTTTAGATGCTGCAGGAAGCTGAAGTTGAAGCCTCTCTGTCTCTCTTCCAACAGGATTAAAGTCGGAAGGTCTCTACAGAGTCTCCGGGTTCACCGAACACATCGAAGATGTCAAAATGGCATTTGATAGAGGTGGGTTTGTGCCCTGTCTTTTGGAACGAGCTTTTCTTCATGCTGTGACTGGGGTTGCAGGGCCACTGAGAGCTGTTCTGCAGGAAGCCAAGGAGCGATGGTTACAAATCTCCTAGTTTTCTGCCTCTCTGGGGGAGTATTTTTTTTTTAAGTGTGGACAAGCAACCTCACAAAGAAGTGAGTTTAAAATAGTTCTTGAATAAACCCTGGCTGGGTAGCTAGACAGCTCAGGTGGTTAGAGCGTTGTCCTGATACGCCAAGGTTGCAGGTTCAATCTCTGGCCAGAGCACATATGAGAATCAACCAATGATGCCCAGCCGGTGTGGCTCAGCGGTTGAGCATTGACCCATGCACCAAGAGGTCGCCGGTTCAATTTCCGGTCAGGGCACATGGCCCGGTTGTAGGCCCAATCCCCAGAGCGGGGCATGCAGGAGGCGGCCAGTCAATGTTCTCTCTCATCAATGTTTCTGTCTCTCCCTCTCCCTTCCTTTCTCTCTAAAATCAATAAAGAAAAATATTTAAAAAAAAAAAAAAAAAAAAAAGAATGTACCAATGAATGCATAAGTGGAGCAACAAATCAATGTTTCTCTCTCTCCCTTCCTCTCTCTCTAAAAAGAATAATAAAATATATTTAATAGTGCCATTAAGACTCTTGAGTTGGTTGCCCAACATTTATGGTCAGTCTACATGGCATCGGGATGCCCTCTGTATCCCCCATCTCAGGATTCGTTGACTCTTCTCCTTCTCCAAAGCTCCAAACAAGAGAGCATAAGGTAGGGGGTGGGGTACCCCATGCAGTGAAGTCAGGGAAGCCAGTGGAAATTTGGGAGGTAACTCCTTTTGTCCTTATGAATGTGTTCTATGCTCTCCAGGCCATATTATCTCTTGGGCCCTTGTTAAAAATACAGATCACCAAGGCCCACTCAGGGGACCCATCCAGAAAGCTGAGTGAGCCCAAAATTCTGTATTTCTAAGGAATACTCCAGTGACCATTGGTACAGCCAGTCAGGGGATGGAACCCTAGCCCACTAGACAGAACCTCCGCTCTCGAGAACAGTAGGCAAGGTCTCGGATGACCTGTCTACACTGTCTGTTCGAGCTCACAGCCAGTTTCTCCTCCCTATGTACTCTGCACCCCAGTGACACTGAAATACACCTTACATTTTCGTGAGCAAGCCCCTCAGCCCTTGCTCTGTCCATCTAGAATGTGTTCACATCTCTGCCCTGCAAACATTCTCTGTTCATCAGGGGTCAGCTTGTCCTTCCTCTTTCATGAATCCTCCGACTGCTCCAAGCTGACCTAAGAGTTCCATTTCCCTTCCTGTGCTCCCCCCACCCCCACCCCATGTGCGTCTCCAGTGTAGCAATTTTACAATCTCCCTGTAATGGTCGCGCTGCACGCCTGACTCCCAGGCTGACTAGAGCTCTTTAAAGGACTTGTGTCTTTTCTTCTGTGACTCGCTGGGGCTTAATGGTGCCTGGCACACGGTAGATTCTCAATAAATGTTTGTAAATATGTAAATGGTATCAGCCGGCATGCCTGCTACACCTCGTGTTCTGTATATCCGTGGATTTTATCCTCAGAACCAAATTTGTTCAGGCATTTGTTCTTTCAAGTCTCTATATAAAAGACTATGCTAATAGTCCCTCCATGATGGAAGCGGTTTTTATTCAAAAAATATTACAGTATATGCCAGTTAAATGGAACTGGTATTTTCTAATGGTGAAACAAAAGTGTTGCGAATGATTGTAAAAAATGGTAAGAAATATAACATTACCTACACATGCGGGAAGGTCACGTTTTCCCAAATTAAAGTCCTAGGGACGGGAGGGAAGAATCAAGCTCAAAGAAATTCAGTGAGCCTGAAAGAGACACTAGAAACTGAGACATTCAACAATGACCTTGTGTACATCATCTTCAAATCCAAGCCCAAGGACTTCTTGATGTATTGTCATTACAAATTTGGTTGTTAGTGTATGCTATTATGAATCTGGATACAATCCAGAATATGAATTTTGTGCTAAATTTCTACTCAGCAAATAACCAGGGGCTGGGACCCAAAAGAACAATTTAGGTCTATTTCTCTACCCTTTTAGCTACACTAACCCTCAGACCCAAAAGCGCTCTCAACAAGCTTCTTTGTTACTTTCTGCATCTCACTGTGATTAGAACAGTCTACTGAGTCTTCTATGGGAGCATTTTCTGTTGGATTTTTTTTTCCTTTCTGGGCATGCTTTAACTTGTTCAAATCAGGTCCTAATTAGGAATTGGACCATTGGTTGTTTTTCAGATGGTGAAAAGGTAGACATATCGGCCAACATCTATCCAGACATAAACATCATCACTGGAGCCCTTAAACTGTATTTCAGAGACTTACCCATTCCCGTCATCACTTATGATACCTATTCCAAATTTATAGAAGCAGCAAGTAAGTATTAAGAACTGATTTTTTATTTGTACCATATATTTACATAGAGTGCTTTTGAGTTCAAGAAAATTAAAACGCAGCGCTGTTTAAATTATGGCATGAGCGGCTTGCTTGGCCCACTGCACGCACGATGGTGCAGCTGATAGGAAAGCAGGCATCATGCCCCAGCTGGGTTGCACCGGTACCAGACACCTCCGGTGAGCTGCATGCCAGGCAGCTCTCTGTCCCCATCATTCTTCTGCGCTGGGAACCTGCGGTCAGGCCTGCTCGGTTATGTGTTGAAAGCAAGAACGTTTCTGTAGCAAAACACACACACACAAAACACAGGTATTCTTCCGTGAGACCTGTAGAGATTAGGTGATTCCCTCCGTTAGGTAGAATCCCATTGCTAATCAATTGACGTCATACCCCACGTTTTTCCCATTGATGCTTTTCAAAATGAAGAATGGGCCAAGAATATGCTACAGCAAGTACTATGCTGTGAACTCGCACCATGTCCTCTAGTTTTATCTTATCTGCCCGATGAAGCAAGCTTTATTTTAATCCCATTTCACAGGGAGGAGAGCGAGGCTCACAGGTCCAGGACTGGAACATCAGCCTAGGTGGTCCACAGCCCACGGTCGCTCATTCTGGGCTTGGCACTCTGGCCCCCTGCTGTGGAGAGAGAGGACCATAGTGGTGAGGGGGTGGGGGTAGGGAGGCTACACTTTGCCTTGGAACGTAGTGAGAAAGGGATTCAGATGCTGGAAGGCATGACTTCCAAGCCCACTTTGAGGAAGTTTTATAAAACTATATCATCTTGAAAGGTGTGTGCTACCAAGTACAGTGATGAGTCAGGGACCTTTGCAGGTGTGCTGGGATTAGTGCGCTTCGCAGAGGAGCCGTGGCCTACTTCCTGGTAGGGGTATTCCTCCCCTTCCTGGGTCCTAGCAGGAGGTAGAGAAGGTTCCAGCAGCAGGGTGCCCTCCACCCCAGGAGGAATGACGAGAGGGCTTTCTTTGGGTGGCTGCCAGAGACCTAAAAAGCAGAAGCAAGCCCGCTTCCTCCCATTGTCCGTGCGCCTCGAGTCCGCGTCCTAAGCTGGGCCGCACACCAGCGTTCACCGTGCCGACACTTGGGTGAAAAGCGCCACTAATGCGGGCTGATGGCTGGCACATCGGCCAGTGCCCTTGCGTTGTAAAGTTATTCAGTTCTGGATGTCTGCCAGGAAAGACTTAATTAGGCGATTTTCAGGGAACACTATCAAGTGAGATCTGGTTTAAATTAAAGCTGTGACAGTGAGGTTTCTGGCATTTCCACCATTGAGAAGAAGCTGGGCAAAGCCGTTTGTGCCCACAGTAAGCATCTGCAGACTCCTTCGGGGCCAGGGCTGGGTCCAACCTCCCGCCACCCACCACTGGACCTTCAATACCCACGTGGTGCCCAGCCTCAAACCCTTTCTGGAATGAGGCAGAACACAAGCAAATGACCTGAAATTGCATGAACTTGTTAGAGCGTCTAACAAGTTCACGCATCTGTAGTCTGACTTCTTACATCTTTGCAAACTTGACTACCATGGTCTGCACTGATCCCCCTTCCGTGTGCTCTCCACAGAAATCTCCAATGCAGACGAGCGGCTGGAAGCGGTCCATGAAGTGTTGATGCTGCTGCCTCCTGCCCACTATGAGACCCTCCGGTACCTGATGATCCACCTCAAGAAGTAAGCTCACACCTCCCGACACCTCCCTGCGAACCTCTGCCCCCAGAAGTGAGCGCTTTGGGAGAAGTTCTCAACCTTCCTCCCCAACACACTGAGTGGACAGACACTCCATTAAAGTGGCCCTAGGCTGAGACATTATCCACAATCTAAAAGGGGTGGGGGCAGAACATTACCTTTTTGAAAATACTTTCTGTCATTCTGATTCTCCATTTTCTTTTTCAGTTTCCCAAACCAGAGAAGTTCTTGGGGGCATAGGTACAAAGTCAGCACACAAATGTGTCCACAATTGGGGGGACAAAAGGAGGGACATCAGTAATGCTTTCAACACTAAAGATAATTTTAAAAAAAAAATGTGTCTACAAGTCGATGTGATGTCTGTGTGTGTGTTTGTCTTGCAGGGTGACTATGAATGAAAAGGACAATTTCATGAACGCCGAGAACCTGGGGATCGTGTTTGGGCCCACCCTGATGAGGCCCCCCGAGGACAGCATGCTCACCACCCTCCACGACATGCGGTACCAAAAGCTGATTGTGCAGATTTTAATAGAAAACGAAGATGTGTTGTTTTAATCCACCAGGGAAATTAGCTGAATGGCCCCAGTCCCATGGAAGGTCACAGGCTAAATGAATAAAAACTCTTCTTACACTTGATTTGTTTTCCAAACAAGTGACAGAATTTCCTGGATCGCAGTGGATGGCCACGTTGGCTACTGTGTCTCATAGACACTTGCCGCCACCTCTGGGAGAACAGCAAGGGTGAGGGTGAGAGATGCCCTCCCCTGGGGTCTTTGCTGTGCCTCGTATAGATAAGTCTGTTTTGCTGGAAGAGTGATTAATAAATCTTTAACTTATTAAAAGCCAATGTAGACCTTTAAACTTCAGTCTTATCAGTAATAAAAGGGAACTTCATTCATAGAGGTACTTGATACAGTTATACATTTTCCACTCACAAAAAGAAGACAATTCTATATGTTAAATGTTAAATGAAACTTATATTGTAAAATGTATTTTTATTTTAGCTGCAAGAATGTTACTTTATTTTAGCAAATAGAACTCAATGCAGTGCATTGATTATTACCCTGTGTACCTTGTCCTGCCTTCTTGCTGTGATCCCTGGAAAAGTTTACCATGAATGCAGTATTATCTTGACATACCTCTGTCCTTATCAGTGCTTTCCAGTGAAATTTCACCTGCCACCTGCGTCCCTGCTTCTGATCATTTGTGCTATTAAGCACTGGCATCTTGCTATTGTATGGTATATGTTTATAGCAATTATAGAATGATCTGAAACATCTACAAATTTTCTTTCTATAAAAATTTTTGTAAATTCCCAAAGTCTGTTTAGAATCTGTCATAGTCTTTCTATATCATGTGTGCATATCCCAGAACATGCAGAATGTGGTCATTTTATATCAGATAATTTGGGAACACTGGTTGTATCTGGGCTGTATAAAAAGTTAGCATTTTTCCTCTATTCTTTTCAGGGAAGGGCTCTGAGTTCATCTGTTAGTGCCAAGTTGTATGTTTGCCACATTTCTGTCTTTATGAAAAGTGAATCTACAGAATAATTGTTGATTGCTTTTTCACTTTTGTTTTATAAACAAGCCTATTTTTTAAAGTAAGAATGAATAAGCTTGGTTTTTATGAATATCTGTTCCTCTTTGGTAAAGGTAGTTCTGTAATTTAATATGATTTTATTACTACACTTCTGATTGGTCATATTTATCTTAGCATGAGCTTTTCACGCCAAGATTTCTATATTTTTCAACATAGGTAAAATATTTAAAACATCAAAAACTGTCAGTCTAGATTTTTTTTCCTTCAGTCCAACTACACAATGTCTTATTCTCCAATTGTCTGAGATGAGTTATGTAACTGCTCACCAGCCTTGTTTGGGCGTGGCCAGAAGAAAATTACTGTGGTAAGGGGTTGGAAGGAGGAGGCGGGGCATTGACCTGGACAGTCCCAAGGGCTCTGCGGGTGGACTCCATTGGCACCGGGGGTCAAGGTGCTTCTGCTTGGTCCCTGCCCTCATGGTTCCCCAAGCTGTACAGACTGGTTTGTTGTAGCTTATGTCCTTCTTGATACTGTCAAAAATTATCTGGAAATGGTTTTATTTTGTGAAGTGAACAATACTTTGTAATTTATGATAGTGTAAATGGAAGGGAAGGCATTAAATGTATTAAATTCTTCTGTCTATCATTTTGGAGTATGCACGAGAAACTGGTGTTGGGGGTGGCGGGGGGGGTGGCAGGGAGAATATCCTGGGAACGTGGTTCCCAGATGTATTTTGTCAATAAAGTTTCTCTTCTCATCAAAACTCAATAAGAACACAAACAGCCCACTGAGTCCCCGGCTCGCCTGGAGAGCCTGCTTGAGGTGGAAATCCGGCGGGCCACCCGCACTTCCCACACGACCTGCTCCACTTACGTCCTTCGCTGAGAGAGATGACCTTTGGAGCAAATCCCTCTAGGCCCCTCGTGGGAGAACAGAACAAGAGTTTTGGTGCCGAAAGACTCAAGTTCGACTCCCAGCTCATGTGACCTTGGGAATGGATTTGCTGATCTGAAAACCAGAGAGAATATTCTGGGTGTGATGTTGTAGAGGAAATGATGCTCTAACGTGCTTAGTAATAGTCATGTCTTATTATTATCATTATTTTAAGAGTGATGACTTAGAAGGGCAAAGGGTATCACGTGGGGTAGGGAAGGAAGGAGCCGAAGACGAGAGGATTTGTCCCAGGTTAAATCCAAGTCAGGTAATTACAGGGGCTATTGTAACAGGGCTCTGTCGTGTGTAATGAGGTTCACTTGACTCCTTTTCTTGAACACGATGACAGTACTTGATCCCCTCGGGCTCGCTGCAGCCTCAGGCCTGCTCACTGAGGCCTGTCTCCCCCACCATCTGGCAGCCTGACGGGCTCCTCTTACCTGGCCTGAAATTTCTGCCATTGGAAAAACTTTAGTAGTTAGACCTGAAATGAGTCAGCATTGTTTCCAGAAACCCACTGTTAAATTGTGGGAGGTGGGACAGGGATGGGCGGGGAAGGACGCTTTTCTTTCTCCCATTTCCGTAAACGGGCACCTGGTCTCCACAGCGGGGAGGGAGCTGGCGCAGAAATGCCGAGGGCAGGGCAGAGGGAGGGCGGTGAGGAGCACACAGGCAGGTACACGCCACCAGCCGAGGTGTCGCCAGGGCTGTCCCGACTCCTCCTGCAAACCCAACTGAGCTTAGGGTCCCCAAGCCCATCCATCCCCGAATTGATACTCAGTCTTTTGAGTTTAAAAATAGAATGTTTATTTTATCAGGCACTTATTAATGGCTCAGAGGTTGTGAACACTCAGAACCAAGGAAGGAGCCTGTCTCGCTGACAGAATTAAGGTCCATCTCACGGGAGACAGAAAGCTGCTCGTGGGAAGGATTTCGGACCCCAACATAAGGGAGAGGCATGCTACTAATGCTTTTTTTTAATAAACTTCATTTTGGAATATTTTTATATTTACAGAAAAGTCGCCCAGACACTGCAGGATATTCCTGGGCGCTTCTCGCCTACTTCCCCAATGGCAGCCTCTTATCCGGCCACAGCACGTGGATCCAAACTGAGACACCGACACTGGTACACTGCTCTTACCTCCAGACTTCATTCAGAATCCCCAGGTTTTCTACTACCGGCCTTTCTCTGCCCCAGGGTGCAATTCAGGTACCACACGGTAGCATTAACGGGGTTTTAGGGACAGGTGACACAATCTAGATTTTTATTTTATTTATTTTCTTAAGTTTTTTTAAATACTTTTTTTAGTTGATTTTTTTTTGAGAGAGAGAGATAGAAACATCGATGTGAGAGAAATACATCAATCGGCTGCCTCCTGGATCTAGCCTGAAACCCAGGTAGGTGCCCTGACTGGGAATCGAACCAGGACTTCTCAGTACATGGGACTAGGCTCAATCCGCTGAGCCACACCGGCCGGGCACAGTCTAGATTTTTAAAGGATAACTCACTTGACTATGGACCCACGGGAGAATGAGTAGGCGGTGGGGGGTGGAGAGGGTTAGTAGGGTAGCTGCAGGGGCAGTCAATGTTCCCTGCAGTCATACAGGGCTGAGGCCCTGTAGCCAGGGCGGGTAGCAAGGCAGAGACAAATAGGACTGAGTTCAATTTAGGAATCGAGGATGACTCTCAGGTTGCTTAATTTGACAACTGGCTAATATCCACTGAAATGAGCACAAAAAGAGGAGCTAGGAGAGCTTGGAGAGGGTCGGAAGGGGTAAGGAAGGTGACAAGTTCCACGTTGGACGTGAATCGGAGACTCCTGTGAAATCTCCAAGCTCAGATGTTTCATGAGCGGTTCTATTAACAGCCCCCAGCTGGTGATAAGGACTTGGGAGTGACTCACAGAGGTAACCACTTAAAGCACGGGACTGTACAGGAGTATGCAGGGACACAGAGCACAAACATACAGACTCGACTCGGTTTCCTGCAGCACCAGCATTCAGAAGAGGGGCAGGGAGAGGAGAGGGCAGTGGAGTCCACGTGCTGTACTGAAACACGGACAGGCTCATGAGTGCAGCTCAGAAGGGCGCCGTCTGCAGGTGTGTTTCGTGCCCTAGCCCATTTTCTTCCCATGTAGATGTATTTTGCTATGTGCACGGCACCATGGTAGACCCCGCATGTCAGAGGTTGGCTTAGATGCTTTGTAAATTCTCTTTGCTAAACTGAATCGCAAAGACGTCCTCATACTCAGGACCTCCGTCCCTACCGGAGGCTGTAGACTTCTAGCTCAGCAGTGTCACAAAGCACTGTGATTAGGGCTACCTCTCTCTCCCCTGAAGTGCAAAGTCCTTGAGATCAAGAACCTTGGATACCAAGTGCCAGTTGGGCACACCCCATTGGTCCTGCCAGTCTCAACAGCAGAGGGCATAGTAGGTGCCAGCCGTAAAGATTGAACGTTCCAAAAGTTCTGAAAACTGCAAGGAGTTGGGTTTGACCGGGACGTGAAGTGTGAGGAACGAGAAGGGGGTGAGATTAAACAGGTCTGTGCCAGGGAACAAGAAACCTGTGTGCCAAGCAGAAGTCACTTTAAGAAGAGCTACTTGGTGACAGGTGAGGATAGACCAGAGGACGTAAGAACAGAGACGCACAGAAGCTGATCAGGATGCTGGCATAGCAATGGCAACCCGACCTTGGCTGCCAACAGGCGTCCAGCTCCGAGTTTGTCGCTCATTCTGTTTTTCCCCTTATACACCCACAAGGTGGGGGACAAGGAGGGTCACAAAAGCTGTTTCCGTGTTAGTATTCCCTGTACAGCTGGGCATCATCCATCGTTCCCAGTCTTTGGGGACTTGGCTAAAACTTGGTGACAACAGAAAACTCTCATTTAAAATCCTGTAACATGTTTTTTTTTTAAATAAGGGGGGGGGCAGGTTTTGAAAATAAACATTTAGGCAGTTTTAAAGAGACTACCCAGCTGCGGGAGGAAGTGGGCAGCTACACAGACACCTCGTCGATTATTACCTGGTGGCAAAGGCTCTCAGGTCGCTCACCTTGGTCCTGAACTCACGTCAGCAAAACAGGCAGGAAAACAATGTAATGCCTATCAATAGTGGATCTGTTAAGTCACTCTTGGTATTGCTACACAATGGAGTTGATTTAACCATCAAAAAGAATCTGTTTCTGCCCTGGCTCATGTGGCTCAGTGGATCAAGCGTTGTCCCATGGACTGAGAGGTCCTGGTTCAATTCCCGGTCAGGGCACATGCCCAGGTTGCAGGTTCGATCCCCAGTAGGGGGCGTGCAGGAGGCAGTTGATCGATGTATCTCTCTCACATTGATGCTTCCATCTCTCCCTTCCTCTCTCTCTAAAAAAAAAACAATAAAAACCTATTTTTTTAAAAAAATTTTTTTTCTATGTTTATTGATTTGGAAAAGGCTCACAATATGTTGACTTGGAAATGGTTCTCCATACTGAATAATGAAAGAAAATGCAGATCATGACCCTATCATTGTTTTGAAAACACTGCCCAGTGCTGCCAGTTCATCCAGGTGAAGGAGTAAGCCAACGCTGTCACCCGGGACTCCTCCATGCCTGTGGCCCTCTGCCAGCAGGATCTGTTCACAACTTACCCCTTTCACCATCTCCACCGCTGCAGCCCTGGTCCGAGGCACCATGGCCCCTCACTGGACGCCAGCAGCAGCCTCCT